AGGATTATAACCTCACTGAAAGGCAAAGAAGCAGCAAGAACTGATGAACAGAAAATAGGATGCTTTCATGAAAGAGGTCAGAGAAAAAAAGTAGCCTCCAAGTCAGGAGGTGTTAAGTATTGATATGCCGAGGTTTGCAACTGAGCATGCGGGTGCTGCCAACTCCATGCTGGATTTACTCTCCATGGGAGAGGCCAAGAGATCCCTGAATCCAACGGTGTGTCAGAAGAGGCAGCACAGGCCCACCGTGGGCACCAGGCTGTCACTCTTACCCCATCAGTGCCTCTGGTGACAGTGCACGGCCAGTGTCATTGCTCACTCACCAATGGGCCAGCCAGGCTTCAGGGCAGCCAGAGCCTGGGCTGCACAGACAGGGCCAGAGAGGTCCCAGCACTCAGCACCTCCACGTCTGGCAGTGCCTCAGAGAGGGCAAAAGAAAGGTCTCCTGCCTTACTCAACTTCAGACTGAGGAGTCATATAAACAAGGCAGAATATATAAGATCCACATATATGGAAATGGGTTTAATGCTTTTTTAACCACTAGCACTCTCTGTTGCAAAGTAGTAACAGAGGCAAGAACTAAATACAATTTAAACTGAACTTGAAATTCTGAAAACCATTGGATTTTTGGTTGCATAAAACTTTAAAAATTGCAGACATGTGGTAAATATCATGCTGTTTCTCTGAGCAGGTGAAGATAGGAGAGGGTAGAGGAGTTGGCAATAAATATGTGGGTAGGTGATTTGGTAATTATTTACGTGAGTGTTCCTGTACTTCCCCTCAGAAAGTAGCTAGTCCTCACCATAAATGAAGTATGAAATCAAGCTGAACAATAAATTGTTCCAGTAGGTCAATTTTCTTGCTCTTAAGAATCCTCCAAAACTGAATCCAGCTACAAATTTTCCCTCAAATCTCCCGTTTTCCACTTTGGCTTTTAGCACCTAAAACTGCACTGAAAATTAGACTGTAAAAATGGCTGTATGACCATGAGTTTTTATTATCAAGACAAAACAGTGTAAAAGCAAAATACTTTCTTCCCTGCTTTATAACCTGTCACTTGTTTTGGGTGGCCTTCCGCCCCCCTCTTTTATAACTGTTTGTTCATTCATTTGTTGCTTTGTAGTTGTTTTTTTAAATTTAAAACCTTCTAGAAATTTATTTTTTGTGCCCCATCCACAGCTATAAAAATCTGTATTGTGAGTTTTGACTTCAGAGGTATTTGTATAAATTCATTGCTCATGTGCAGTTGGACACCTCAAGAGTCTGCTAAGCAGGTTGTCAGAAGCAGTCTAAACTAAATATAAATATAAACCCTCTCCAGTTATCATTGACTTTCACTGACCACTTCTTGCATGACAGTGAATTAATTTTCCTGTGTGAACATAAAAATTCCATACTCTGATTGAATTTTAATTATATGAACAAGAACATGCATATTATAAAAGCCGAATTCAGCCTGGCTGTTACTATGTGGATGCTGTAACCACAGTCAATTTGAGGTATTTAGGTTATTTGCTTCAGAATGACTCATTTGATTAATAGAATAAAACACTAATTGTCATTTGATATAATTTTGAACAATGCAAAAAGGAGGGACCAAATGGCAAGTCCTCAAAGAAGAGTGGGGTCAGAATAAGTATTCTGTGTAGGACAGGAAAGGAAATATTACAAAATGGAAACAAAAAGACAAACACTCTAGAAAGGAGATATGACCAAATGAAATCTAATGGAAAAAAAACCAAAAAACCCCAGAAAATCGGGAGACTAAGTGACTACAAGAAAATGCACAGGGACTACATCAGGGGCAATGCAAAGGACCAAAAGAGGCCAAAACTAAGCTCACAGATGTTAAAAAAGCAGGGGAAAAAAGCAAGGAGGAAGACACAAGTCGCAGGGGAAGATATGAGGGACATGGCATGGGTATTTAAAAAAAAATAAATTAAAAAAAAAAATTCTCCAAACTCAAACTCACGGCAAAAAAAATTTCCCATCAAAAGTCACGGTATATCATCAATGGCAGACACACACACCGAAGCTTACCAACATTCATGCCTGCTGAAGGCCTAAACTGAAAAGAAGGCCTTTCGAACACTCTGCAATAGAGATACCATCAAAGGAAATGCAATTCAAGGAGAAAACAAAAAAAATTGGCAAATTTACTGCCTACAAGAAAATGAACAGCAATTACATCAGGTGCAGTGCAAAACACCAGAACAGGCCAAAACTAACCTCACAGATGTTGCCAAAGCAGGGCAAAAATGCAAGGAGGAAGACACAAGTTGCAGGGGAACATATGAGGGACATGGAATTGATACTTTAAAAAAAAATAAATTTTGGCCATACTCAAAGACATCAAAAGACATGCATGCCAGCAACTGCAGGGAGACACACCAAAGCTTGCCAAAATTTATTCCCATTGAAAGCCAAATCAGAAAAGAAGGACTTTTGAAAACTCTGCAATGGAAATACCATCAAATGAAATGCAAGTCAAGAAAAAAAGAAAAGAAAATCAGGAAATTTACTGACTGCAAGAAAATGGGCTGCAATTACATCGCATGCACCATAAAGGACCACAACAGGCCAAAACTAAGCTCACAGATGTTGCAAAAGCAGGGGAAAAAATCAAGGAGGAAGACACAAATTGGTGGGGAAACTACTAGGGACATGACAAGGGTACTTAAAAAAAAAATAAAATCTTCCCCAATGTCAAAGCCATCAAAAGGCATGGGATGCCATCGAGTGCTGGGACACGGACCAAATCTTGCCCAATTGATCCCCTTTGAAATTTTGCGATTTCAATAGGGAAGATAATATTACTTTAGGACATGTGCTCATGTTCTCATAGAGAATCAAAATGCTGCTGTTTTGCTGTCGATAACGTTAGGAATAGAAGTATCTATTATAGTTTTATTAATATGCAGGTGTATATACTATTTCCTTCCATTCTTCTGAAAGTTCTTCTGGAAGGACATGTTCTAACTCCAGTAAAAGTTAAAGAGAAGGAAATGCATTACTTGCAACCAAATATCTTCTTTTATCTTCCCAGTTAGCTTTGTACTCTATCTTTCTCTCACTGTACTTGCCTGTTACTTTTTTTCCCTTGACTTCGAAAATATGTGCAATATCAAAAGTAAAAAAATTGTTGTAGGGAAGCTAGACAAATTTGCACCTTCATTAATCCCAAGCTGGTCACACTGCTGGGATACAGCATGAGTTGGACACCTGTCCTGCAGTGTGAGAGCCACAGTCAACTGAAAATATGGTATTTTCACCCATCTATTTCTGAGGAGCCACAGACACCAGGCAGTCCTGGTACAGATTTAGTATCTGGAAAAATATTTGCAGCAGCATATATTATTACTGGTGTTACAGCAGCACCTAGAGACCCATCCTGGGACTGGAATTCCTTCTTCCTGGCAACAGGCAAAGAGGGGCTGAAGGAGGGACCCTGCAATGAAGAGGTTGCAGTCCAAATGGAAAAGACAGACAACAGCTGGAGGGGAAGTAATTGAGGGGTTGAATGAGGGGTTTGCCTCTGCCAGCAGATAGCCTGGACCACATTTCAATTTGTTTTCCCCTTAGCACAAGGGACCCACGACCTCCTGGTGAACTGGCTGTGTTGACACATAGTGTTCTAGCCTGAAGTTTAATATATAAGGTTATCTTTGGGCTTGACTTACCAGGAAAGACATTGGTAGAAATTGAAACATACAAATTGTTTAATGTCTATGCACCAAAACAAGAAGTTTCCAGTTCATTGAGGTAATTCTGACATTGAAAGACCAGTGGATAATGCTATATGGAAAATAAATATGAAGATACCAGTGTTTATCCAAATCACTGGCCTTTTGGATTGTTACAGGATTGTTACAGGGAGATGGATATCAGACATTCAGGACTTTATCCAAGCTGCTTTAAGAATAGCTCACTTTTTCTGCCCACTGCCTGAAATAAACAACTGTTATCATAATACTTATTTTTTTGCCTGATTCAGGAAATGGATAGAAAGCCACAAAAATGCTCATTTTCTAATACTGTGGTGGTTAAATCAATGATAAAGACCATATTTTGTTTAATGTGTTTCCATTTTAGGATTCCAAAGTGTCAGGTCTGGCAAGCTAAACACAAAATTGGAAGCATAATCAGAGACATCCTTGAAAATATTTACCTTACTTCCTTCTGATCTTTCAATACATTCTTAAAAATTGTGCTTTCCACCACTAGAAATAAAGTTTTCTGTGTGTCTATAGAAAAGAGAAAAAGAAGTCTTGGGATAGCATTTATTAATTTTCTTTAGAAAGAGTATTTTCCCAAACATGACTTCATGTGAGTAAGGAACCTAGTAGAACCTAAGGCAAAGTGAATATTTCCTGTATCTTGCAGGCGATGCTTTCAGGAATCACCATCTCTAGAGAAAAGTATTTTTAAAATATTTTTTAAAATATTTTCCTCTTTTAATTTTAGTTAAATTGCTGCCTTAAGGACAGTGTTTACCCTTTAAGGTCTGTGTCTGGGTGAGAATGATACACACCAAAATATAAGCTTTACTAAAAATAAATAAAGCCACGGATGCTTCTGTGTTTATTTTCCTGTGACTTCCTCACAGTAGTGTAAAATCAGCTAATTACGTAGAGCTTTCTCTGATGCTGAGGATCGAAGAATATTCTCTGCTCTGGGAGAGGGGGTCTTCAGCATTCAGCCTCTTTTGTGCAGTCCCTTCAAATAGCTGTATTAGCACAAATTCTCAAAAACTGCTTCCCAGTTTAAGATTATTTCAAAAGGCGAAGAAAAAAAAAAAAAGACACTTTTTAATTTTTCATTTCCTAAATACAAAGTTTCCAGTCCTATGCAGGAACCCCTGGGCAGGGACTGTCATGGTGACCGCCTTCCCGAGAGTGACCCCTCCCAGTCCGAGCGACCAGCTCCCCCAGCCCACTTTACACACAGGCCCGGATGGAACGAATGCACGCTCCACCGGCGAATGAAGGAGGGCTCTTGACTCAAGGAATCCAACTGGGTTTATTACAGAACAGTAGAAGGTCCAGGGAGGGTAGAGATCAGGTGAGGTGGAGAGTAGGACAGGCTGGAAGGTCCACAAGCACAGCTGAAGGGTCTCAGGGTCAAGGAGCCAGAGAAAGGGTGCTGACCTCCCTCACAGGACCACAAGGCACTGAAAGCACAAAGTAGGGAAGGGGGGTGACTATATAAGTGGGGAAAAGTGGGAGGGGTTGGGACACAAATAAACCAACAGGGTTAGGGGAGAAGGGAGGAGCTGGGGTGGGGTGACACAACCACAGCCAATGGGGAGCGGAGAGGGGAGTGGTTAGGAACAGAGGCCAATGGGTGAACAGAAGGTACAGAGTCTTCTAGAACAGGGGAGGGAGTACTATTTGAGTGACAAGGCTAGATTTACATAAAGGAATGGAGAAGCTTGGGAAGCTGTTTTAGTTTCTCACCCTCAACTGAAGGAAATTTCCTCCCAGGGCATTCCCTGGCAATTCAATGTCCAACCCGTGGCCACCCACAGTCCTAAAGTTGGAGCATCACCCTGAAAGCACACTAGAAAAAGATAGCTGTAATTTTACCGCACAAAATATTCCGCGATGAAACAGAGTTCCCAGGATATTCCATCAGCTATTCTTAATTCTTAAATCCCCGGGAAAAGTCTTCTGCAAAGAAATGGGCTCAATTAGTCCACAAACTGGACGTTAGAGGGTATATCCCTCTTCTAAGCAATCATCCTTCTGAGTAATATGAGCTGGTTCTAGTTAGAAAAAGAAGAAGGACCTTCCAGGGCCAAAGAAGGGATGTTTGAAAGTTTTGCAGGGTTTTTTCCCCTGTCCCACTCTTCCTCATGCTGGACACAAGCTGTGGGCTGGAAGAGCCAGCTTCCCCTCCAGGTGTCAGCACCGAAAGGTGACTCCAAGGGCAATGGGGCCCAGACCCCACCTGGCCCCCCCAGCCACCTCCTCCCAGCCCACCTCAGTGTGGTTCCGCTGCTCCCCAGCCAGCTGGAGGCTTGGCTGAAGATGGTTTGGGTATGGCAAAGATCCCGCAGACTGTGGCAACAACTCCCAAAGCTCAGACAGCTTTTGTGGTTTACAGGATTTGGTGTGGAATGCTGTAATGCAAGAGATGATGTGTTTGCTGTCCTCATGCCTTGACATGTGAGTGCCTCGTCCTGTGGAGTTCTTTGGCCAGAACCTATCTTTTGGTCTGTTTTTTGCTGCATAGATTTCAAGTGTAAGCCTTTGTTTTCTTGGCTGTTAACTGTTGGAAGGGCTGAGGTTGGAAGGGCTTGCTAAGACACAATTCAGTATCTCTTCCCATGGCAACCCTCTGTTAGGACACAAAATGAGGCACTGTGCCTGTGATTCCCTTGCACTAGTGGGAGCTGTGGAGGAATCAGCAGGATCAATCTGCAATGGTCAAACACCACAAGCTCTTAGGTACAGAGATCACTGTCCCCTCTGTGGCACGCGGAACTCACCTTCTTTGGGAGGCTTTCTCCAAAGCCCTCTGTGTGAAAGTGGGCAGAACATCATGTTTGTTTTAAACATATTTTCTAATAAACTCTATATGGAGGCTTCCATTAACTTCAAGATCCATGTTCAGCTTTGTAAGTGGGCACAATTCTTTCAGTCAATGTGATTTAGGCATAGAGTTGCATACTCAGCCTGACTTTAAATAAGGCTCAAAGTGATGCCGTTTAAGTTAAATTTTGTTTACAAAAAATTAATAAATGTGAAGTTATTATTTATTATTTGCTTTAAATTTGCTTGCCCTTCCTCCGTCAGCTGTCTTAGTTGTTTTCCTACTTATATTTTGTTGACTTTTGTATGTTTAGAATTTTAAAACATTAAGTTACAGAGTGAATTAATTCTTCAGTTGGTAAATAGGACAAAGTATTGTGCAAAAGCATGTACTATCCGCTGTTTAAAACAGTCCTTAGACTTTTCTTTACCAGTACCTCTTCCCTATGTTTTGCATTGCCGCAGGTATGCCCAAAGTTATCCAGGTCAGATATACAGAAGGATAATGATTAGCCTAAGGAAATTGTTCCTGCGAATTGGTTGTTGTGCACATTGTTGGTCCATTCACCAGGAAATATAAATGGATTCATATACTTTTTTTTTTTTTTTTGTGCTGAATAATCTGAGCTGTGGAAATAATACAGGAGAATATGAACATCCAGGATTTTGGCTTTACATAAACCAGGAACCTCTGAGTTGTGATTATCTCAGCTGTGAAATAATGAAACCAACCTCTTGAAGCTGGAGTTTGGCACTTTTTGCAATGAAGAGGTAGCTGCAGAGAATGAAATGGGACCTGGGTGACTCTCAGCAGCAACTGGGTTTGCTGTTCTCTCTGCACTCCTGCCTATCGTTTAAGGGGAGGCACAGAAAACCCTTGTGATGAAGCTCAGTGATCATGAAATACAAGATTGGTCCTCTGAAGAGCTAAAGGTAAGTTTATTTAAATTGCTAGTGTTTTCCTGGATGATTGATACCCAAAGAAGGGAAGGAAGATTTGTGGGGTCCAGATGAGAATGTTAAAGACACAGCAGAAAGAGATGGGGAGTTGGCTGCAGGTGAGCACTCTGTACTGCAGGAAAATGATTGCCTCCAACCAAGAACTGAGCAAAATTAAACAAAACAGATGAGACACAGGAGAAAATACAAACTCTTTGGAGAATACAGAATAAGGAGAGGAATATTGGTCAGAAGTTAAAAGTGTTTGGAATCTTCCAAAAATTTTGGAATGTTTATGAGAAAACTGATACCAGGTGAGACCCTGCTAGGAGATGGCAAAGAAAACATTGGAATAGATAGTAGGAACAAATTCAAAAATAATGGAAAAAGTGTGGTTTGATAAAGATTGCAGGAAAATAGCTGAGATTGACATACAGCAATGTTGGAGCCTTCAGAATCAGAATTGAACTCCAGATGAGAAACACTCTAAAGTCAGAAGGAAACTCATGAGGTCAGCAGTGCAAGCAGAAAGGCAATACTTCCATGGCTTGAGGGGAAAAAATGAATTAGATTAGGAAGATTAGTAAAATAAACACATTTTATAAGGGTATCGATGCATGGAAGAGAGGATATTAGCCACATCTATGTCTGATAAAGAACAAATAAGGAATGCTTTTCATTATAAAAAACTCAATTACAGAAGAGCATGGAAAAGTACTTTTAGGTGTCCACTACAGGGAGATAGTAAATAAAAAGATGTCTTCCAGACACATGAGCTATTTGTGGAAGGATTGAATTTTGAAGTGATTTAAAGGGCAATCAGGAGCTCAGGAGCAACAAAACACCAGGTGCAGATAATGTTGCCACCGAATTATCAGACATTGGAAAGAATAAGACAACTCTTTTCCATGATTTAGAGGTTTTAAAAAGCATTCCAAGACAATGAAAGCAGGTAATGAGACTGTTGTTGTGAAAGAATAAAAGGAAAAAAAAGGAGAAACAACAACTCCCTCTTCTTATTGCTCTTTATGTCCCATAGAAACCTCTTGTTGATATTCTTTATCATCACATCACTTTTAGTGAGGCTATATATAAAATACATTTTGTGGAAAAATTTGTCTTCTATAAATTAGCTGTTTTCAATTTGTCATTACTAGAGACAAAAAATATTAAGATTATTCTAATGCTTTAATTTTTATATATGAGCTAAAATGGAAGTGTGTTGAAAACTTTGTGCATTTATCAGAGAGGTGTAACTGAGTTTGGAGTGCGAAGTAAGAGTAAAAATTGTGGAATTGCATCTGTCCCATTTGGAGACATGGGACAAGATACTAACACTACTGCTGGAAAGAGTTGTACAGTTACAGCACAACTCCCAAAACATCCAGTTTCTGCAAACATAGGTGCTGCTTTGGCAATCCTGTGAAGGCAAAGCAAAGACTTGAAGGGCATTAGGAGAAAACTGAGACCAAAGTGCAATGAAGGCATTGCATTTTGCTCAAATAAACAGGACAGGGAGAAATATGCCTTTAAAAGGAAAGAAAGTGCAAAAGTTGTGAGAGATGCAAAGAATCCCTAGTCTTTAATACTATGATTTTATGATAGATTTTTTAAAATTCAAACCATGATATAACTTTAGATCATCACATTCACTAGACAGAATCATAGATCATAAGTATGTGCAAAAAGAAGATTTCTTTTGGTGTGATTTCATTTAACCATATGTGTGGTTTTAAGCTCAGGTGAAAAATGAGCACTCACTCCCTTTCTCCCTCATCCTGGTGAAATGGGGATGAGATTTAAAGTAAAACTTGTATGTTAAGAGCCATATAATAATTAAAAATAAAATAAAATACTGTAATAATAGTGATTGATAATAATAATGATAATTATAATGATAATGATAATTAAAAAAGAAGCAACAAATTATGCACAATGCAATCTCTCACCACCTGCTAACTGATGCCAGAAACCCCTTCCTGAGCCCATATCAGCCACCCTTCCAGGCAACTCCCCCTAGTTTATACACTGGGCATGACTTTCCATGGAATGGAATATCCCTTTGATCAGTTCCAGGTCACCTGTCCCAGCTATGCTTCCTCCCAGTTTCTTTTGCACACACTTCCTCACTGGCAGAGCATGAAACAAAAAACAAAAACCAAAAAAACAAAACAAACTAACAAAAAAGGCAAAACAAAACAAAAAAATAATCCTTGACTCGGAGTAAACACAAGTTAGCAGAAAACTAAAGCATCAGTGTGCCATCAAAACCATTCTCGTTCCAATCCAAAACACAGCCCTGTAACAGCTGCTGAGAAGAAGTTGACTCTATCCCAGCTAAAACCCTGATACCATGATAAAATGCTACAAACCATCTAATTGTATAGAGTGTTGTATAGAGTGATATACTGTATTTCCAACTATGTGTCATGGCAAGAATAGACCAGAAATGAAGCAGTATTTTTGGGTATTCTTGTATTATTTTTTAAGTCAATGCAGAGTTGTTCTTGTATAATGTTCAAGCAGTATTAGAGAGTGTCAGTTATTTAAAACCAGCCTTATAGCTAACTTTAAGGATTCAAAGTTTCCCACTTCTTTTTGTATTCCTGGTGGTAATCCAAGGTCCAAGGGTACAGGCGCAGCACAAGGTTAGCAGCTCTGATTTAACAGAATAATCAAATCAGTACTATGAGGTGTGCAAATACATTTATTTTTCCAGATTTTAGGACTGATCCCACAAACTGCACTGAAAATTATTATCCCACCTTTTTTTTTAATGTGAATACAGTACACACAGCATAAAATTATTGGCAGACACTGTGTGCTGGTACAATGAGCTTCTTTACCTAAGAAAAGAATGATCATTTGGAGGTATTTATTATCCCCATCTTGGCTGAGAGTTCAGAGCAGCTTTCCATTAGAGGAAAAAGAAGAAGACAACAACAGAGAACATTCTTTGATGAGAAAATGCCTAGAAAAAAACAGGCCCAAAAAGATGGAAAATGTAGTGGGTGCCTAAATTTCAAACAAAAAATACAACTCTGTTTCTCAAAAAGGATGTAAAACTGGATGTGATAGGTCTTCTTCTCTCCTGAGGAACGAGGTGCTTTTTTTCCCAATATCCAAATCTGTGGGAGGCAGTTTGATTCCTTACTCCACCCCTGTACCTCTGCAGCGCTGAGCTCTCCCTGCTGCTG